CAACCACTACCTCTCTCCAAGGGTAATGTTGGTGAATTCAGGGATGGGTTGGAAGAAACCTAGGATCCCCAAAACGAAACATAGCATCAGTTCATGAATTCACTGGCAGTTGGCCTGAGCCATATTGGTAAATGCAGTCAGCTCGGTTGGGATCCGTGCGATTGTCGTAACCAGAAGTGAGGGATTTTAGGTGACTTGGCTTGGAATTAGTCTGATTACTGCAGATGGATCTGTTGTTTGTTTCTACTTAGACCACGTGTTTCAAAATTATCTTATCCTTTCCATTTTATGAATTTATTTTTTCTCCAGTCATATTTATATCACCAAAGTTTTCTACCACAACTGGTATTACGACTACTTTTACTACTCTGGTATTTCTCTGTGCTGTGGTTCGGAAACTTAAGCCGATATACACATATGCCAGGTTCTGTATTGATTATGATAAACTGACTATCTGAAAAAGGAAGATGACTGTACTGTATCACAAATTGATTTAAAACTGAAAAATCATAGCAAACAAATTCCTACTGTGTTGTAGAGATGTGAATTTCAGTTCTTTAATCACGTAACAACACACAACCACAGATTATTATCATTAATCAGTTAACTTGAACCGTTTTTTTTCATAACCGAAGGTAGTAACTTGTTTACTTATAACTAAACTGCCCTGGCACGGCTGAGAGTGGGGTGAGTCCGCTCTCCCTCTCCAAATGCCCTCACATGGCGACGCGTATATAGCCTCTGCCAGGGAAGTCCTACTCACTGTCTTCTCGCGACATTACTGTTGTTTACGAAATTGAGGGGACGAAAGGCGAATGTCCGGCGCTTTAAGCGGGTTGGTAGACATGAAGTCCACCTAGGGGAGTTGGAAAACCCTGATTCCAAATCAATGGTGCACATGGGCTCCAGTATCCTGAAGGAACAAACGGCGTATGAACTAATTTTCGGTCACCGTCTACCATGGGACTGCATCTCCTTGCGACGCTCCACTGCATTGTGGATCAGACCTTCAGGTCGAAGGCTCCGGGTGTGACCCCCTAAGAAAACCACCTGCTTCGGTTTGGGCACCCGGGCAATATCACAGCCCTCACACATATCAAATGAGATCTGTGTGGCGCATATGTATTTGGTGTCTCCTTGTACCAATATCTATGTGTTAAAATAAATAAATAAATAAATTCTTTGGATATTTGCAGATGGAATTTATTGTTTTTAAATGATATAAGGCTTGAATCTTCTAATAGTTAAGCGCGGTTAAAAACTTTCGAAACTATTTTTCTACGGTTTTATTTTCTTATTACCCTGGTTTTAAGCTTTTATTTGAACCGTAATTTGTTGTTATAGCACCTGCCACTCATAAACTAGAACTAATTATTTGTGTAACACAGGTTCCAGTTTTCCTATTATTAATACTGTTACCCAAATTGGTCTGCTGTGTGATTTGGTCTTATATATATATATATATATATATATATATATATATATATATATATATATATATATATATATATATATGAAAGATTTAATAATCTCCGGGAGGTGAACATTGGTCTCGCGTTCGTCCTCTTCGTTCGGAGCCAACCGTCAGGCCTAGAGTATGTCTTCCAAGTCCATGATGTTTATTAGTGGCTTAAGATCGTCCACGCGTATTGGTTGGTTGTAGGACGTCACAATATGCGATACACAAATCATTGAACTTGTATGTGGGCTGGTATACTGTCCCATGGTAGCCGGTGACCAAGATTAGGTTCGTACGCCATTTGTCTCATCAAAATCCTTGGGCCCATGTGCTTTTTTACTTTGGAAAGGGGTTTCCAACTCCCCTAGATGAATCCCTTGTGCCTATTGACCGGGTTGAAGCACTGGACTTCTGCTTTTCTAAGTATGAATATTGTAAATAACACCCCCACCGCTAGAAAGCAGTGAGTAGGTCTTCCCTGGCACTGGCCATATACACGTGGCCATACGATAGCATTTTGAGAGGGGGGCTCTCCCCACACTGTATGAATAATAACAATGGAAATTTTGTAAAAAAAAAAGCTATCACCTTTGGTAGATCTTCGTCATATATGGGTGCACGGCCTCTACAAAATCGGAAACAGCTAGTCATGCTTATTTTGGTGCTAATTATTTATGTACGAACAAATATGTACTGTTCTTCTAGCGTTTAGTCATCTCTACCATATCAATTCAAATTGTTTGAGTTGATAATTCGGCTATACGAGCAGTTAACACTCGATCACACTGTATCATTGCAAATCATTTAACGATCATCATTCTATTCATTTATTTAACCAGACCCAAACATTATTACTAATCATAAAATCCTCTCCAATAATAAAGAATTAGAAAAAACCATATGCTTGATGTATTTCTCACAGATACGAACTCTAATCAGTTTACTTCAAAGTCTTAGTATACTTCACTGAATAATTCTGACTTGATATTTAGTAAAATAAACTATACTAAGCTACTAAGTTGAATACATACACGTCATTGTTATCCTCCGTGGTTCTCCGAGTCTGCTACTGATGTGTATGCTTTTTAGCCTAAACCGGCTACTTGAGCGAAAAAACTAGGATTGAGCATGGAACTTCTATTGTCTGATCGGACCAAATATATACTCATATCCTTCACATATAAGTATGTTTACCCCTTAAAATCAACCCACAGTTTTAACCTATAGTATATGTCTATTTTCTCAGAGAGTTAAGTCAAAACATGGCCAATCAGAACCTCCCAGTCCTCATTAACTCAGATTGTTAGCCAATATTACTATAAGGGTTAGTCGTTTCTGACCAGTTCATTTAATTAGGTACGAAGTACAGACTCCTATTTACTTGGCTGTGAGCTACAAATTCTGTTGAGTGAAGGCTAACGATACAGTGTGACTACATAAACGGAAGTCGATGAAGAAGTGTTAGAAAAAGCCAAGTGTTTCAACTACTACATCTGCGAAAAGTAGTTATTTAGTTAACTCAAAATCAAAGTTTGCCACTTTCCTCACTTTTATTTAAATTTATCATACACATATTTATAAAGATAATACTGATTGTTTTAACTCTCAGGAATCCATCTTCTACCAGAAGATTTACTTAATGACTTAGAATACACAGATGAAATAGTTCATTTTGGCGAAAACGTCTTCTGATCATCTTAAGCAACAGTACAAACATATTTGGTATGGATCAATTTATCTTTAAATCCAAAATGTTTTTAAGGGACTGGTGTGCGTCATGGCGAAACTAAGAACAGGTAGTGAGGTAGTTGAGCGTACGATGACCGCCTAATTTAAAAGTCTCATCAACCTTAGTAGGTTGCTGTCCGACTGGATCTTAGACCAGATTCAGAAATCCCGTTTGGCTTTCGTCAACTTGAGTCCCATACATAGTAGACAAGATATCCGTTTACTAACTAAAGAACAAGTATACTATGTATCAGTTCGTTCCGGCTTATTATACGGTTATGAAACAAAGCTTTTAAAAATAGAGGATATACGTAAGTTACTAATTTTCGATCGTGGGTGTATTCAAACTATAGCTCGTGCATTTTGGGACTATTGAATTAGTAATTCTAACGCTAGGAGCGGAGTATTAGCTAAGTATGGAAAATCGACTGGTGAAGTAGTGAATCTTTATCGACTGAGATAATTATGACATGCATTACGTGTACTCAACCACCGACTACCACGATACATGATGATGATTGGTGTATGAGTAGATTGGAAGGAAGACAGGAGGGTTAAACTACGACATGTGATCAGTCTATGACAATGATTGTTGAACTGAGACATGTAGATAGGTAGGTGCAGATTAACTAATCGAGATCCATGTGATTATCGTTACCAAAAGTTACACTTTCAATGACATGTCTCAAAATCATTTGTAATGGTAAAGGTCCATTTACTTTTTGCTTTTCTCATAGATCCTAAGTTTTTAAATAACCTTTATATATTTCGCTAATCGATATTATCTGCTCAACTCGCTATTATTTTAACTACATTTAGTACTCTGGGATTTATTTTAACAATTTCATCTTACTGGGCTAATGGAGTTGTGAGGACAGTCCACGGGTGAACTCGAGGAGGCTCGAAGAAGCTCAGAAAGAGGGGAAGATAATCCATCAAACACCTTTTGGAAGCCACCGGCCGGGTGTATATTCGGAAGGAAAATCCGGACAGTATGTTGCCGCCCAGAAAGACAAATAAACCCACGAATGTGTATGGTACGGTCGCTCGTAGCTTCCAGGTGGACGAAAGGGTACCTTTCAAACCGTATAGGAAGTGGGAACCAGGTGTTATAGAACGTCAGATCGGAAGTGTACTGTACCTGATCCGGAGAAATGTCGGAACGTGTATAAAACACATAAATCAATTCAAAGGGACGACAGAACATTGATCCCACAAAGCCGACTCCAGTTTCAATTGCTCGTGGATTAACCTCAAAAAAAGCCCTCAGGAGCGCGAATGTAGAAGATATAAAAGACGCAAGGGCAAAGCGGTATCATCTTTGAGAGTGATGGACCCCTAGAGGAATGCAGTAACCAAGTTTCAGGTGGATCCGAGAACAAAGTCTTACACAACAGACTTTAAAGGGGGTGGTGAGTACGGTCCACGGGTGAACTCGAAGAAGCTCTAAGAATCTTAGAAATAGCCGATGATATTCCATCCAATCATCTTTTGGAAGCATATTCCAGAATCCCTACGTGTAGCTTCCCTATTGGACAAATGCTAATGACGCCCTGTGTGCAGATTGGATAACTATAATGATGATTTCGTTTTCTTCTAAATAAACTATAAATACCTGACATTTTTGTACCATAATTGACACTGCTTGGAATAACATTCCTTTCACTTGTCTTCTATCTTTTCATTTGCGAATTGGGAGGGTTCTAGTGTTCGAGTGCTCAAGCAAACCTGTAGATATAACAAGGATGTTGTGATAACATGAATCGATGTACACACTTATATCACATTCTACATTAAGTATGACTGATCCTCTTAGTAACAACAAATAATTGTACAACAGTAATAAGAATAACCGAAAACAAAACAAACTACTTGACGAATGGGTATATACATGAGATTGTTATCCATGTGTAGCATCATCATATTTACATTTTCTTATTTATTCTTTATTTATTACATAATATTATGTATTTTTAGCTGCACGTTTTTGTTTTCGAGTTTTCTTTTGTTTTGGTTTTGCTGCTGCTGCTGCTGCTGCTAATCGTCCACGATGACGATGACGTTTTTTTGGACCGAAATGTTTTGGTAAAATTGATGATTTTTGTTGAGTATTATTTTTGGATAAATATAATTTCTTTTTTAATTTATTAATATAATTAGGATTATTATTCATTTTAGACTTTTTATATATTGTTGAATTAGATGACTTTGATGTTAATATAGACTTAGTCTTTTGTGAATTCCTTTCAATATTCTTTGTGAATAATTGTGGTGTTGATGATGATGATTCTTTGGTTTTAGACTGAAGCATCTATTTGTTTTTTTGGGGGGGGAAATAAATCAAGAAAAAAAAAGAACATAAAATGAGGAAATATATACATACATATCAATCGTAGAGAAGGGGGAGTTGAGATGGATTAACAAGGTAGAAATTCCTAACTATTTCATCCAGCTTAGCAACACTCTAACCCCCCCCCAATGCTCTCACATGACCACGTGAATACAACCACTGCCAGGAAAGTCCTACTCACTGCCTTCTCGCGGAATTACTGTAGTTTACAAAACAGAGATGAAGAAAAGCGAATATCCGGAGCTTTAACCAGGTTGGTGAACATGAAGGGTCCTCCTAGAGGAGATGGTAAATCCAAACTCCACTCCAATGTTGCACACGGGCCCAAGGATCCTAAGGAAACAAATGGCGTATGAACCCATTGTTGGTCATTCTCTACAATGGCACTGCATCTCCTAACGTTGCTCCACTGCCTTTTGGATTAGACCATTAGGTTAAAGGCTTGGGGTGTGGTCCCCTAAAAATACCACCTGCTTCAGTTTGGGCACCCGAGCAGTCTCTCATCCCTCACATAAATCTAATGATTTATGTGGCGCATATCTGTTTGGTGCCTCCTCGTACCAATGTTTATGTGTTTAAGTAATAATAATAGTAATAATAATAATAATAACAATAATAATAATAATAACTATTTCACTCTGTGATTAGCCTCAAATCGGAACACAATAATAACATTAGTCTATTCTCAACCAATCGGTACTAATACAAGAGTCGGGAAGATACTAAAAGATTCTTATGTAAATTCTATAGAAACTCTCAAATTTTTGCCATTGGATGTTTGTTTTTCGAGTTATCGGAATATATATAAAGGGTTCAACCTGATATTTTTTTGTGATTTGCTAAGAGTCGAGTGATGTATAGTATCCAAGAAATACTGAACAACAAAAAAACCATAATAAACGACCTAGCTGATTCGTTCTACTTTAGGACTCTCTTCAATTCAATAATACTGTCTTCACTAAGAAACTACAACAGTTTCTGGATCCAATCGCTGGTGGTAGGGTTTTAGGTGATCAATACTAATAAACTTTACACTAAGACGAAATAATTTTTCAATGATTTAAGTGAAATGGTAGTCTCTGAGTCAAATGGTTTAATTATGAAACACTCATTATCTTTGTAGAAAGTATCGTGAACAGAAACATCAGAACTATTAAAATTTCTCCGGAAGCGATTGATAATTTGCTTTGGTCATTAATTTGGATCATTCACCTCTCAGACATGGTACTTGACCTCCTATCAATTTATGATTTTTCCAAATAGTTGATAAATCATTTCAATGTTTATTGTTGGTTGATCTAGACAGTAAGCTTTTAAAGATTCTCTGATCTTATTTATAACCTTCGTTCACAATTTTAACATTCTGCTAGCTGAAGATACATCCACAACTGTCCAGAAGCATGGTTATGGGCAAAGATATATCCCGGAACTTGAAATCTGATCGATATGTATTTAAGCAAAGATGAAGAGAGAGGTTATTTTGTCGGATATGTTTTCTAGAATTAAAGCTGCTGATTTTATAGATGATGTTCGGCATGCCTTCTCTTGTCCTTTCATTTTTTTTTAGTTTGTCCACTTATTTTTGAAGTAAGAGCTGATGATGAAATCGTCTAGATGGATAGTATTAGCTTCATGATTAAACCACTGAGTTCAGAGAGTGCGACTTCGCCAAAATCATTCTCCTGAGCTATTAACATTCTCCATCTCATATTAAGTTATTCAATACCCTTTGATTTTAAATGTTTTTGCAGTACACCTCACTCAACCATAACATCTAAATTTACATTTAACATTCTTCACAAGCAATGCTATATATACAGTTACTGTTGTGTGTATGGAGTTGTGAAGTACTATTTAAGGCATTCGACTTTCAGTCACTAAGCCAAAGGTTTGAACTCCTTCCCAGCGACTTCGGTTTGCAAAACCAGATAGTATCAATGAACCTCACATTTATGTTGCGGTTCCAATAATCGAAGAAATCGCCATGGCTATCAGACAAATCAAGAGTAGGAAAGCAGAAGGACCTGACACTAAACGACCTGAAGCAATGAAGTCAGACATAAAAGCAACTGAAAACATGCTCCACATTCTATTAAAGAAGATTTGGGAGCAAGAACAAGTACCGACAAACTGGAAAGAAGAATACCTGATTAAGATACTAAAGAAAGATCTGAAAAAGTGTGAGAACTCAGTTACAGAGGCATCATACTACTACCGGTATCAAGAAGGGTTTTCAACAATGTTACTGAGCCAGATGAAAGATCCAGTAGACGCCCAACTTCGAGATCAACAGGCTGTATTCTGTAAGGATAGATTGTGCACAGAACCAATGGCGACACTACGGATCATCGTTGAACAATCGATTGAATGGAACTCGTCACTATACATCAACTTTCTTGACTTTGAAAAAGTGTTTGACATTGTGGATGGTAGAACATTATGGAAAATTTTTCGACACTATGATGTGCCTGAGAAGATCGTCAACATCATACGCAATTCATACAACGGACTACACTACAAAGCCATGCATGGAGGACAACTGATGGATGCATTCCAAGTGAAAACCGGAGTCAGACAAGGCTGATTACTCTCTCTTTATCTATCTCTTCTGGTGGTTGATTGGATTATGAAGACCTCCACACATGTGAGAGGAAGCACGAAATACAATAGATAGCTTGGATACAGCTGGACAATAACGACTTTGCACATGACCTAACTCTTCTATCCCATACACACCAACAAATGCAGGTCAAGAATCTGATGCAAATATGAAGGCACGGATTGTCAAAGCAAGAGTCGCACTTCCACAATTGAAGAATATATGGAACTCAAAACAACTGTCAACCAATATCAAAGTCATAATTTACAAGACAGTTCTACTGTATGGCGGTGAAACTTGGAGAAATACCACAACCATCATCAAAAAGCAAAAGTATTCATAAACAATTTTCTGCGCAGAATACTCAATATCCGTTGGTCGGATACCATCAGCAACAGTCTACTGTGGGAGAGAACAAACCAACTTCGGGCTGAAGCGGAAATTAGGGGAAGACATTGGAGGTGGATAGGACATACACTGAGGAAATCAACAAACTGAATGGAAAAAGAAAAGAGGAACACCAAAGTATACATTGAATAGGGAATTAAAAGTAAACGTCAAAAGAATGAATAGCGATTGGAAACAACTAGAAAGGATTGCTCAGGACAGAGTTGGTTGGAGAATCCTGATCAGAGAGCCTATACTACACAAGGGATAGCAGGCATAAAATTCCAAAATTATGATGTGGCTCATAATTAGATACCTGATGAATGAGTCAATTTGAATTAAAAATTACTGTTGTGTGATAATTGTAATTTCAGAACTAAGAATTGATTGAGGGATATGTATACATATATTAGTGATTATTTTACTTAATATATATACATTCTGGCACAAACTGTAACCAAAATAAGGATATGCCACACAAATAAAGTGAAATTCTGAAGGGTAACAGGAAGGAGTGAGAGTTAAATTATAAATAAACAAGTGAATACAAATAAGTTAATGAAAAAAAGGTATATAAGCAGAGATACAGTTCAATTAAGAATATAATCAAGAAAGACGTCTTTCAAAGAAGAAAGGTTGTTTCATTTATACGAAGATTGTAATAGAACACTATAGATGAATCGTTACTGTTTTCTATTGAAAGCTACATCTAAAAACAACTTAATCCAATGATTTCGCCATCTCTCTAGGACACCAACCGATGAATCATGGTGAACAAAAAGATATTAATCCTACAAAGCTTTTATTCCATACATCGCCATGTAATAAACTGACTACCTCTCACATTTTCCCTCTAATCCCAAAGTTGGTATCATAACGGAGGATATAGGGACTGCTAAGATGGATGGATGATATGATCGACTCAAAACATAAGTGTATAATAAATGAAATACCATATAACATTGCGTAATAGTACGAAGATCTATATAAACTTTTGCAACTTACCAAACATTTTTCTGCCCTTTTCTGTTTTAATTGTAACGCTCTCATATTTTCCAATGAAAATTCAACAATTGGTCGCTATTGGACAGAAGAAAGAAGAGCGAACAAATGTAAACAATTATCCTTATAATAGGGCAAAATTTTCATATTAGATATTAGTACAAATTACAGTATGTCAAGACAGTTCCACTGTACGGAGCTGAAACTTCGAGAACTATCACAACCATCATCAAAATAGTAAAAGTATTAAAAAACAATTGTCTATTTGAGAATCTTCAGATCCGTTGGTCGGATACCATTGGCAACAGCCTACTGTAGAAGAGAACAAACGAACTTCCATTTGAAGAGGAAATTAGGAAAAGACGATGGAAGTTGATAGGACACATACTTTGGAAATCATCAAACTGCATAACGAAGCAAGTGCTAACTTGGGATCCTGAAGGTAATTGGAAGCAGACATCAAGAGAATAAATATCAACTGGAAACAAGCGGAACGGATTGCCCAAGCTAGAGTTCGATAGAGAACGCTAGTGAGTAGCCTATGCCCCTCCACGAGAGGTAACAGGCATAAGCTTCGTGAGGGAATTCTCGGAGTTCTAGTGAGGAGCTAATCCGTGTCGAGTAGAGACAGGTATCTATCACAGTACAATGGAAGTTGGTCGCGCAATTTCGGAGATTGGTTGAGGCTAGACATTAACAACATTGGATGCCAGTCGGCTCGGTGGTCTAGAGGTTAAGCGTTCGCGCGAGAGACTGAAAGCCCTGGGTTCGAATCCTGCGAGCGGGATCGTGGATGCGCACTACTATGGAGTCCCAAAATAAAATGAAACGGCCGTTCAGTGCTTCCAGGTTTTCAATGGTGGTCTTACATCAATCAGCTCATAATCCCAATCATTTTCGAAATTGTCAACTTTTCATTCTGACTACTTTTAAAATCATTTAATTGCCATAATCTTAATAACATTCATTGTAAACGGATTTAAATACAAGAACTGTACATTCATTTCTCATGTTGAGGACTAATAAATTTACTATCCGTTGATAACTCTCTCTTTCTTGATTATACGAACTATAACTGGAACAGTGTCTATATTAATACACAATAAGTAACTGTTCCATCTCCATGATAGTGAATGTTTTGTGAAACAATTACAATTTTTTACCAAACCGATGAGACTATAATTTATGGACGACATTTGAGTGACGCTAAAGTGATCTTGAGAATCTTCACCTACTAACTAGAACCAAGTGAGGGTTATAAAGCAGAGTGAGGAATCAGGAATATGATTTACATTTGATGGTTGAGGTTAGGAACTAAATTTAGGGTTTCATCACGAACTAGCACCAGCTAAAATGCCAAAACGCTACTTAGTCAAATGGATAAATGAATTTCGTGCCAAAATTCAAAACCTGTTATCTTAAACCTGACAGGTTCATACATATATTATAGTCTCACCACCAAACGTTATATTAAAGTGTACCAACTAAAATAGCATGTAAACAGAGTTAATTGCAATATTAATAAGGTAAAACCGATGCCCTTAAACGATCAGTCAAAATTAAACTAGCCGATGTGTGTATTAAAAACGTTATTGTGGATAACTTGTTGCTTAAACTCATGATTTTTATTAGAATTCGTATTTCAAAAGGACGGGATAGTAGTCTTCTTGTGGAATGAAGTGTTAAAGTCAGTATGTTAAGTTTAGGAAGGTTAAGGTTAGGAGTATTAGAGTTAAAAATAATGGTTTGGAAGTTGTAGGATTAGGATCTAGGGTTGAGCGGTTTTAGTCTTATGGGCTAAGGCTAAGGTGTGTGTTAAGGTTTAAAGTATTAGGATTAGGAGCCAACGTTTAGAAGTACTACGTTTCGGAGTTAGGGTCTAGAAGTTTTTAGGATTAGGAGCTGGAGTCGAGAGATCTTAAGGTGAGGAATTAGGTTTTTAAAAATGTAAGGCTGAGAATTCGGGTCTATCCTGATTATAGAACAACGATATCCAGCCCAAATTATCGATATTTAGCACTAATAAGTTCATTAATTATTTCGAAACTACTAATCCTTGGTGATTTCATTATTTTTCTATATTTTAGAGCTCTCACACAACAACTGCATTCTGAGTGGCTATTTTTGATTGGTTAATTATAGGGCCATCCTTAAATTCGTTTAAGGTTGTCTGTATAGTATAGTTTCACCATTAACATAATCTATTTACTTAGAACAGGTTTATGTTCACGATACACAATATATTCGACAAAGTGAACTTTTCGTTCACTTTCGCAAACATAAACGTAAACTATTAAAAGAAATGTTATGATTGATTTAAATGCACGTAGACAACCACAGACACAAATTCGTTTGGGAAGACATCGAAAGTTTGGTTGAAGATACCCGATATATCGACTTATACAAAAAAGGTCAATAAACCACATAATTAGAGGTTAACTGGACAAAATAGTCAACTTGAATAAAAGAACTGGCGCTTGGTACCTGTGTGGTTGTGCCACAGGATTGAGCTGTACTATACAGATTGTAGCGTTAAAGCCTATACGGTGTCTAGTTCCGCTGCTAAACGGGATTGAGCTGTACTGTTTGGGTTGTCACGTGAAAGTCCGGATGGTGTCTGGTTCTCCTGAAAACCAATGTAAAATTACCCTGGCCCGCAAGGGTATATTATATATAAAGAACCTACGAATACAACCAATCACAAACAAGGCTTTCAGAACAAAAAAACTTATGACTCGTGGAATAAGTAAGAAGGTCACTTCTACATGAATCAAGCACTGATTATGTTGCCCAGAAATACAATTAGATCATGTAGCAATTTAGACAGATCAACAACACTAACAGTCTTATGTACTCGACTTTGGGATGAAATACATAAGGTAGGATTCGATACCAAGACCTAATTGGGTGAAAATCGGGTACTTCAATGAATACCAAATAATTTTTTCACAGTGCACAAATCAATCGACTATCAAATTTACGACAAATTATTATAATAGAAAAACAGTAGTTTACAGGTTTTGATCAAAACACCAGATATTATATAATACACAATTCACTTAATCATCTAACTATTCAACAGAGTGCCAGAATTAAGCCAGAACAAGGTTTTATTTTTTTTAAAAATAGAAGGGAGATGTCAGTAAGTGGAATCATAGATCAATTCTTATAAATAAGTGAACAATTAAATTAAATAACCTATTGTACAGTAAAGGACGATGAACTTACTCGATTACTAGGTGGGAATGCATTCGGATTATTATTTAAACCATACAATACACTTAATGCATTTTCATGATTGGTAAATGCAACAAATCCATAGCCAAGTGAACGATATTGTTGTCTACCTGGTTGGAGATTACGCATAATACGGCACTGATGATAAGATTGCAAACCAAAGAAAAGAGAACAAAATAAACCGTAAAAACAATTTTGTAAAGCTACAGTATAAAAATGACAGTAAATAATTTTATATATTCAATTGGGTTATGAACACAGAGTGGATTCCAACCGGTAGATCAGAAGGCAGATATCAGCTAGATCTATGTGGTTTTGACACGAGAAGTTCAATACAGATCAATACGCCTAGCTCTTCGACTACTAATTGTCTATTATAAGATCAAAAGTATCGAAAGCTCTAAAACAAAAGACTAGTATATCATGAGTAAAATAAGATGTGGATTAAAAACGTCCCATAAATCGCATATGATCAACTACAAAAGTAATGATTTAGCAACGACATTCAGGTTGAGTGTTGTTCATGTTAGATTTTTTTGAAGGTGGTTTCAAAATTTCAAAGGAGAATCCTAGAAAATCCACTTCTTACATGAGCAACTGTTTTCTTTTTAAATATCTCCTTCAAATTCAAGAATCCAAAAACAAAACCACACATATTTCAATCATACGATATGTTCGAAAAGATTGAAAAAAATACAATGTAACTCATTTTACCAAGAACCAATGTATTTCTCTAAACAAACCTTTTCATTCCATCTTTTTAAACCATATTTCAAATATAATTTTCACATATAATGACATATTCTCAGTGTTTAATCTATCTCGGTAGCACTGCTATTATAATCATTTCGACTACCTATGCTATTCATCTCGTTAATTTTATCCCATGGTGCTAATATGGTATGAGAAAGTAGGCTAAAGCAAATTTATGCCAGATTGTATATTGATTATGACTGAATGACAGTTTTGTATAAGGGGTACAGACACAACTCAGCTGCTGAAATCGAATTCAACGGAGTGTGGTTCGAACCTGCAATATAGGAGTTGGTAAACGAGAATTTTAACAACTAAGGTACTGAATATATACATATTTAATTACTGGATCACGGGTTTAGATCTCACTCTTACCGCCGTTTATTATCTCCTGTACTGGTGCAATATGTGTGTATCTAAGTTTAGGACGCAACCTTGTACTTAGTTATCATACAATAACTACCAGTAAATATATAAAAAACGCCAAACGTATGAGCGAACCGAACCTTAAAAATTGACCATAACAATACTTAAATAAAAACACGTCAGTCATACATTTTAAGCGTACTCACTTCTAAAATTCGGTGGTCTGTACTTTTCTTTAGAAATTTCATGCAAGCGAACTTTAATTCATCATCGGATACATGTAAGGGTAGATTACGTAGACATAATCGAACATCACTAATAAAATAATTTGGATCAGTTAGTTTTTTCTTTTTCTCTCGCAATAATGCATCCCTTCTGGCTAAATCTTCTTTGCTTAAACCTTCAGCTTCAGATGACCCAGGACGAATAACTATATGAAACAAGAGGAAAGCGACAAAACGTAAAATAAATATTTTGATTCAAAAAATGGTAAAGAGGGAAGAAATCGTGTAATACGATGTATGTCAGTCTTCAAATTCTTCCTCCTATTCACTATTATGAATAAAGTTTGAAAGGACTCCCGTCTCATTCATGGTTCATAATACAGACTGATCTTGGACAACCATTGAAACCCAATAAGCATTTAACAGTTGCTTTGTCCTGAAAGTGGAACAACTCAGCAGTACACATCCACGGAAATACTGGAGATTGAACCCAGGATCTTCAAGTCTCGCACAAAGTGGTTAGTTTTAGCCATATTGTAAGTGTAGAGGCTAGTGACGATAACTGGGTGTATAAGCCAGAATAGGTGAAGCGGAGTTTGAATATGCAACTTGGCGGCCGAAATTCGAACACATCACACGAGGTTCTCTTTAGCGGAGCACCATTCGACGACTATAGTATAAATTTATAATCTAAACCCTCCCTTGCATTAATGCACAGTTTCTCACCCCTTCCTACCCCGTGAACTTCTCAAAACTTTTGCCCGATAACATTAGTAATTTCAAAAATGGTATGATCAGTTATTATTGTTTTAGTGTGAACATGAAAGCCGGTAATTTGTGTGATCACTATCTTTTTAAGAGCAGTGAGCTCTGGTAATCACCAGTCAGGATTTGTTCAGCCAGCTACACCTTTAAATATTTAAGCGACAAAAATTGTCAGTCAGTAACAACGTAGAACTTCGTACGTACGTATGTACATCAGTTGGAGTTGCCATACCACATTAGCACAGAGATGCAGTTGTCGATTCAAATCCCGTAATGGTGGAGGTGGTAAGAGTATAAGCAGTAATCGGAAACATTAGGGTTTGTAGATGGTATTCAAGGAGTATAATCCGGTGAGATAAATTTTGAAAGAGAAAAAACAGAAAGAAAGGGAAATGAATAATTCAGAAGACAAGAATTTAGAAGAACACAAAGAGTCGATGCACCTGCGCCATTGCAAACGATTTTGAGCCATGTCATTCAAGGTCTCTAATCATCGGTTGCTATCGTCTCGCGGATCCCAACTAGGTAGTCTACACCTACCAACATGGCTCAGCCCACTCGTCAGTGACTTCATGGATTTGTGCCATGTTTTGGTCTGGACGCCCCTAGCTTTCTTCCAACCAACTCATAAGCCGTAAAACGTCGCACATCGAGGCAGTCGATGGTTGAGCATACGTGACACATATCTGAGCCAGCTCAACTGATCAAGTTTCACTATGTCATCAATTGATTTGCCATCCTTATCTAGTACCCGTTCCCTAACAACTGCACTACTTACTCGATGGTCCCAGGATATACGAGCAATATTTCGAAGACACCTATGATCAAATACTAGTAACCTACGGATATTCTCTACTCTTACCGGCCATGTTTCACTGACATAAAGTAGGACGGAACGAACTGCTGTACAGTAAACTCGTCCTTTGGTTGGTAGATGGACAAAAATTGTGCACCTGAACATATCGAGCATATACTTCAGTAGCACTCGAACCGGCAGCTTTTTTTAAATATTTATGGTTGTAACCCCAAAATTATCATTAGGGATGAGGAGAAACTACAGTCGTTATAATGTCGGCCGCCAACTTCTATCTCAAAGCTCCGTGTTGAATGGATAGGGTCAAGATAAAATATAGGACCAGTTTATAAAGTTACTAACTAGTGATTTGAGATAAGTAAGAAAATGAAGACTTTCTGGTTAGGGTGTGCGTGGCAGTCTTAAACTACGATTGTACTGATACGATGTGCAGAAACTTTACTTTCATGTTATCTGCGAATGACTAACATTGATCTTGTAAGTAGATTTCAAAAATACAGCATATGTTAGTGGTATGGAATTCTTTGCTTTCAGTTCAAACACTGAAGGCTAAGATACTCCTTTTGAAGTTTAGATTCTACACCGTAAGTATATTTACCTGTGAACAAACAAGCAAATCAATGATACTTTATACAAAAAAGTCGAACAAAAAAGTGGAAGTTTCTCAATTTCAACCGAAATAAGTAAATTTTTCTTCTAAATATTTATAATGAATTACCCCTCGTTTTATTTGAAACTTGACTGTGATGTCATAAAATCTAATCATACTTGATAGTGATTTTTATTTATATCATAATATTCATTTAACTTCCTCAATTTAAAAGATACCAACATTTAAGAAATTTATGTTTTTGTAGACCTAATCACTGAGTATGAGTCAGTTAAAAGAGCCAAAAGGGAAAGTTTAGTGTTGAAAGTCGATGTAGGAGGAATAATCGGCATTGAAGAGGGAGGTCGATTATGAACACAGTGGTCTTGAGTGCTACTAGAGGTATGAGGGTGGTTTTCGATTCCCGGTTGCCCACACCGTGGAAGGGGCCTTCTGGAGGTACCTGAAAATAAAATTGGATTAGGAGTGGTCTCAGTGACCCGAGAGCGTGACCACAGTGCCCAAAGGATGACTGCTTGAGGTCGGTCACACACGACCTTTTTATGGGCAATTTTTGTGTTAGCTCCGTACTTGTTGAGACCTTACCGCCGGAGACGGATATCCGTGGGATAAGGCGAGGTGTGCATTTTTAGGGTCGACCTTTTCTGACCCCACCCCTCCTTGTGGGAAGGCAGAATCGCTGTCATGCTGGTTGTCTGAAGGAAACACCTTACTGCTGTCACATCACTGTACAGTGAGCAGTAGGACTTCGCCTTCGGACCTTGGGTTTGTTGCTTTTAGTCTTACCGCTCTTTAACCGACCTGTCTGGCATATTAGAACCTTAAGGAACGATTGTTTCAGTCAGCATAGCTTGGTTGCTTCATTACGATAGGCAAGCCCGACCACCATGTCAAGGTAGCAACAACGGTCGGGACTGAGTATGAAACCGACTACAGTGTATAAAATTCTGATGATGTAGGTCTACAAAACGCATTTCATTAACCTGTAAATTTGTATTATTAAATTGATCATCATTATATGAAACGAAGCTAGATGATTTAAAATGCGTATACACAGGAAGATTATCAACTTACTTCCAATAGATGCTAAATGCAAATTACGTCCCTTTTGCTTTACAGCATCTGCAGGGCCTATAAGACCCTCCGAAGCATCATCTTCGTGTTTCCTTTTTCGTAGATTTTGTGCCTCTGTTCTAGAAACAGCAATTGTTATTTTTAAAGTTCGGTTTTCCAAAGAAAATTGATGAGCGTTCTAAATAAAAATACGTCCGTTGTATTATGGAATTGAGTATATTTCTTATGAAGTGTAATATAGTACACAACAACTTATCAATAAAACATAATCTTTTCCAACTAACCTCAGGTTTATCAGATTGTTGTAAGACATTTGATGCATCCTCAGCATTTACAAACTTTACAAAGGCTGTACCTCGGGAATGTTGTGTTGCTGGATCTTTAACTATTTTCGCAAATTCTAGGGGTCCGAACTGTGAAAAAAATGTGTATAATGCATCCTCTTCCACATCAAAGGATAGATTTCTGAAATAATACAAGTACAGAACGATATAACCGGTATTAACGACAATTGTTTTCAACACCATACTTGGAAGAAAATGCAAGTTAACGAAATAATAACTGAAGTGAAATAAGTTGGTTAAGAAAGAGCGAAATATCAACCAAAGTAATCATGACTGTTCCTTAAGTACAAGGGAGTGTGAAGATTATTGAAGTTAGTTCGTGACGCAGAACTACAAAAAAACCACTTCATAAGCATTTCATTCACTAGAGAAAGTGCTTATAGCGCATAGTCTTTCAAACGCTTGTGACGTTTAGTGTCGAATAAGTGGGTTTTGATAGGATCACATCAAACGAAATGAAGCACATTAAGATAGATTTCTTAAGAAACAATGTACATGACGAGTTAGACTGCCTAACCAAATCTTCATTTTAAAAAAGGATAAAATGTTTAGTTCATATATTTTTAAAAAATAGTAGTGTGCAGATAATGCTAAGTGACTCTAGTTGACAGAGCTATAAAACGTGAAGATCGCTGCAGAATAGGCAATAACAATGCAAAAAATGCAACAGAAATAATTATTTCGAGGTTCTTTATAACAAAAAGTCAAAACTAGTCACCAAGTTTTTGTTATATTCTGTTTATAATCCTGGGTTACAAAATGTCGATCAATTACTTTAAAGAACTCAAATATAACGTTAATTGGTAGTATGTCTTACTTAATGTAAAATCTGACTAGATCACCGTAAACATATCGTACTCATTTATAGAATGGATACGACGATATACTTGTTAAACCGGTCAAATCTCTAGTTTGGACGGAGCATTTTATGAACTGTAGCAAACATACTAAGCATAGAGTTTCGCTGAAATGCGTTGACCATTGAAGTTTTTTTACGGTGCATAAATAAAATATTAGGCAAAATGATACACATTGAAATAATTAAGGTCACAAATCGAGAATGAAAAGTGGATAATAAACATTAAAAGCCCAAATAAACAGGAAAAATGTAAATGTATCTGCACTACTTTAGTGTGCAATTATCAGTAATGTCTGTAATAATAATAATTTCCAAAATAAAACAGAACTTCGAAATGTAGCCGACTACGCTAAAAATAAGATTATGTATGTCAGATGTCCCAACAAACAGAATTGTTCTACCAATCACATTAAAACTTTTCACATGCTTAACATTTAGCTGCAAACCGAGTGAGGTATATTTGTTGAGGCATTCCAGAAATAATTTTTAGAAAAAACTGAAAAACTATCAAAATGAATAGTCAGTCAGCTACAACGTAGGACCAGGCACATATGTGCATCGGTCCAGGTTGCCATACCTCATTAGCACAGCAAGATGAACACCGGATTCATAGGAGTGGTTAGGTCAAAGGTTGCAATAAGGATATAGTATAGGAAGAAAGAATTAGTTCGTAGACAGAAAGAATGAAGTGATTTTAGTCTCTTAGTTTAAGGGAAGACAGGGAGTGTATACACCGACGCCATTGTGATCGATTCCGAGCCATGTCCCCAAGAGTCTCCAACCATTGGTTGCGAAAGTCACGCGGACCCCAACCAAGTAGTCTGCATCTACCAACGTGGCTCAGACTAGAAGTTAGTGACTTCAGGCACTGATGCCACGTTTTGGTTTGGCCGCCCCTAACTTTCTTCCAACCATTTCCAATACCGGATAGCATTGCACGTCGTGGTAATCGGTGTTCAGGCATACGTAACACGTGGCCCAACCATCTCAGTCGATGAAGATTCATAACCCCATCAACTGATTTACCATCATTCCCTAATACCCTGCGTCTAACCTCACTATTACTTACCCGGTGATCCCAGCAGACGCCAGCAATATTTCTAAGGCATCTGTGGTCAAATACTAGTAGCTTACGAATGTCTTCTAATCTTAATGGCCATGTTTCGCTGCCGTAAATTAAAACAGAACGGACTGACGCGCAGTATACTCGTCCTTTTATTGATAGACGGATATCTCGCCTTCGCCAAAGGTGACGCAAGTTGGCAAAAGCCAAACGAGCTTTTCGAATCCGTGCTGAGATTTCGTCCGATACCAACCCATTAGGGCTGATCACACTTCCAAGATAAGTGAAGTTGTCAACGCGTTCGACTACTTCACTCCCTATCCTTAGTTCAGGTGTTGACGCAGACCAGTTGTGGAGCAACAACTTGCATTTAGAGGGAGAGAAGCGCATCCCAAACATTCTGGCATTGTTGCTTAGTTCTACCAGAAGACTCTGCATTTTGTCAGCGTCTTCACCAAACAGGACTATGTCATCTGCGTATTCTAAGTCGATAAGTGGACCTCCTGGAAGGAGATCAATACCCGAGAATTCAGTCGACGAGAGTGTTATTTCCATCAATAGGTCTATGATGAAGTTAAACAAAAATGGAGAAAGTGGACAGCCTTGACGGACACCACTTGAGGTTGCAAAAGTAGATGACAGTTCGCCATAAGCCCTGACTCGACTAGTAGTGTTCGAGTAAAGAGCCTTCACAAGGTTTATGTACTTCTGAGGTACGCCTTTCAATGACAGACACTGCCACAGAATCTCGCGGTCTACCGAGTCAAATGCTGCTTTTAAGTCAAGAAAGACCACCATTGTCGGACGCCGATAGGTATGCCTGTGTTCTAGAACCTGACGAATGGTGAAATGTGGTCGATGCAGCCACGACCAGGTCTAAAGCCAGCTTGGTTCTCTCGAGTTTGTAGTTCACGAGTCTTAGTTAGGCGTTTGATAATTATCGAGGCCAGTATTTTAGATACTATGTTTGTTAAACTAATCCCTCTGTGGTTGTCACAGGATGATTTTGACCCTTTCTTATATATTGGGACGATAAGTGATTGCGACCAGTCAGATGGGATAAAGTCTAATTCCCAGATCTTAGCTAAAATATTAGTCAACTTAATCGCTAAAATTGGACCACCATCCTTAAAGACCTCTGGAGCCAATCCATCTGGACCAGCTGCCCTTCCTCGTTTCAGATTAACTATAGCCTTTTGAACTTCAGCAAGAGTAGGGGGACCTATTTCAATGTTCCATTCATCAAAATGAATAACAAAAACAAGTCTTAAAAGTCCCCAATCGCTTTACTAGCGCTAACCATCATAATAATATTCTCATATGTACAGTAAAATTATTGCTTTTAACCTATAATTACCTGATGACATACTATAGCATGACGTTCTTTCACACACTAGGCTAATTCTACTATCTTTGGCCCGATGACTGACTTCTATCAAGTTTTATAAAGCTGGTATTTTCATGACATAACGAATATGTTTCTATCAAACCTCAAGTTTGAAAACCTATGACCCAAGGCTAAAACCGAGCAAAACAACGGCACTGAGTTATTTTAAATCCACGTGTCCGACTAAATAAACTCATTCTTTCGAAAGGATTGCTAATACAGCGTTACAAAGTAAATTGTTCCGTGGAAGGCATACACTATGTGTGGGAAGATGAAAATAAGTCAGTCATTATCAACTTATGTTGCCACATATCAGCATGGTAATAATTATTAAGACATGCCGGTGTGTTAGAAAAATAACAGTATCAGCGGAAGCAGAAAAGATTGGGTACAGGAAACATGAATGAAGAAAATTAATTCGCCGAATGAAATGGATTTTAGGTTAGGATAATTTTTCCGATCTCAATCAAACAGCCTACACCTACGAACATGCATCAGTCCAACAGTCAGAGTTCATGGACTTATAAGATGTTTGATCTGGCTTCCCCTTCCTTAGCTTTCTCACAACGCATTTCCACACTGCCAAACATAGCAAGTCCAGTTAGGCTGTTGGGCATGCAAAGTGCAAACCCGTTACCTTAGTTTATAAAAATTCAAAATTTCATCAATCTATCTACAACCTCAATGTAGCACTCCGTGACTATCATTTCTTGTTCAGTGGTCCGAACAAATTCAAGTAGTACTTCAAAAATATATATGATTTGATTCCGTTAACCTACTTTTATATTTAGAAGATGAAACTTTTATAATCTAAAATATAGCCGCTTTTTCTGAACTACTGTAGTTTGGATTTTATGATGTTTTAGGAACTCTGATGTCGATATTGACTTCACAAGCTGTATACATGTAAGCAAAGCCCTAAGCTAGGTGAAGTTATGATCTTTAGTTAAATAGTCTAACGTAAAAGAAGCATTTTTAAAATGATACGAACTGTAACAACAACTGTTACCATAAAAGATTTTTTTAGGATTCCTACATCATACATCAGTTCGTGATGGGAACTCTTGTTCAACCTTGTCATTGACGTACTTTTAGAGATAACATTCTCCTCATCTAAATTTCCAGGGGTTGAACTTCTACCGGGAGGTTGACTTGTTGACTTAGAATATGCTGATGACATAGTTTTATTTGGTGAAGACGCTGACAAAATGCAGAGTCTTCTGACCACTCTAAGCAACAATGTAAGCATGTTCGGGATGCGATTCTCTCCCTTGAAATGCAAAATGTTGCTTCAGGATTGGGTTACATCGACACCCAAACCAGTGATAGGGAGTGAAGTAATTGAGTATGTCGACCGCTTCACTTATCTTGGAAGTCTCATCAGCCCTTGTGGTTTAGTGTGTGACGAAATCTCAGCACGGATACAAAAGGCTCGACTAGCTTTTGCCAACTTGCGTCATTTATAGCGTAGGCGAGATATCCGTCTATCAACCAAAGGACGTGTTTACTGCGCAGCAGTTCGTTCCGTCCTACTTTATGGCAGTGAAACATGGCCGATAAGAGTAGAGGATATCCGTAGGTTACTAGTATTCGATCATAGGTGTCTTCGAAACATTGCTCGTATATCATGGGACCATAACACAGTTGTTAGGAAACGGGTACTAGGTAAGGATGGCAAATCAATTGATGACGTAGTGAAACTTCATCAGTTGAGATGGCTGGGACACGTGTTACGTATGCCCAACGACCGACTGCCTCGACGTGCTATGTTCAGTGGTATAGGAGTAGGTTGGAAGAAAGCTAGGGGCGGCCAAACCAAAACATGGCACAAGTCCATGAAGTCACTGACAAGTGAACTGAGTCATGTTGGTAGGTGTAGACTACCTGGTTGGGGACCGCGAGATGACAGCAACCGATGGTTAGAGACCCTGAATGACATGGCTCAAAATCGTTTGCAATGGCGCAGGTGCATTCACTCTTTGTGTTCTCCCGAATTCTAATCTTCTGAATTCTTCATGTCCCTTTTTCCCTCTTTCCAAATTTCTTTCACTGGATTATACTCTTTAAATAACATCTCCAAACCCTAATCTTCCCGATTACTGCTTATACTCTTGCTACCTCTACCACTACGGGATTTGAATCGACCACTGCATCTCTGTGCTAATGTGGTGTGGCAACTCGAACTGATGTACGTACGTACGAAGTTCTACGTTGTTACTGACTGACTGACTGACTGACTGATGGGAACTCTGATCCTAATAAATAATCCTAACTCCCAACACCAATTACAAACCCTACTTCGCTTTCTGCACCATGACTTTTCTCGTTTCTCATCGGTTCAGTAGCGTACACTAAGTTAACTACAATAGTTACAGACATGAGTAATGCTGACACCCTAGTGTCCAGCATGTGGGAACGAAGTTAGTGATGAGTCTTTCTGAACTCCCTTACAATGAGCACTTAAACATTTAGATCTTTCCCCCTTACCTTATCGTAGGCTGGACCGTAGCTGCTACCTTGACGCGGCGGTCGTGCTTGCCTATCGTGATGACCCAAGCGAGCTAATATTGGCTGGAACATATGTTCCTACAGATTCCACCATGCCAGGCAGGTCGAATGGAGAACAGTGAAACTAAAAGCAGCAATTCAAGGTCTGAGGGCGAAGTCGTACTGCCGACTGCAGAGGGGTGTGACAGCAGTAAGGTTTTTCCCTCAGACAACCAGCATCTGCAGCGATGCTGCCTTCTTACAAAGGAGAAAGGGGTTAGAAAATGTCGACCTTAAAGATATCACTCCTCACTTTACCTCACTTATATCCGTCTCCGGCGGTAAGGCCCTTTGAAGAACGGAGCTAACACATTAAAAACCCACCACGAAAAGGCCGTGTGCGACCGGCCTCAAGCAGTTGTCCCTTGGGCTCTGCGGTCACGCTCCCGGGTCGTTAGGACCAACATTAACCCATCTTCCTTTTCAGGTTCTTCAAGAAGTACCCTTCCACGGTGTGGACAGCCGGAAAGTGATATCAGCCCTCGTACCCGTAACAAAACACGAGACTGACTGACCTTATCGTGGGAAGCAAAGTGACCTTATATTAGCATTACGTGTGTTTTATGATGATTTGGGTGTTAACGCGTCTTATTTTTTGCCCCTCTAAAACTGATTATGTCCGAGGAAGCAGAAAAAACGTCAAAAATCCGCGACCAAATATACTCAAGGTGGGATTCCATTTATGTCCATAGAGTGATCAGTGACTAAAACACCTTGTTCGATCAAGTGGTATCAGTCCCATCAGCGTACCCCAATCTCCCCATTTTGAGGTCTTCCCCGAAGTCCAATCACAATTGGCAGTTTTCCCCAAAGTTTTAGGGATTTTCTAAGACCTAGGGAAATTTTGGGGTTTCTGTGCTATTTGGATATCCAAGACTCTCTTTAGCGGTTCCTCTAAAACGGAAAACTTTTCTCTCAAAATAGGGAGTTTGGGACACAAGCATTAACACACGTCCACAGACCTACTATCCTTATGACTGAGGACTAGAATGTATCATGTCTCCCGTGTTTAGTTTCAAGAGTAAAGTTTTGACGCAACAAATATGTGCATATGTACGAATATATTCGTATATGAAATGACGTTTCGACGAACTACTGATGTCCAGTGTCTATAGATGAAATATGCCTATAATAGTATCTAAGCATATTATCATGCTGTACAGCATGATAACTTTGTGGTGAGTAATTATAATTACTCACCACAAGTCAATATTATCGACTTCGTTATCCAAAACGTCCACGACGTCAAAAAACACTTTTCGTTAAGTTTAGTGGTTGACACTATATTTTAAACAACAGAGCAAGATCAATATTACCTGATAAATATCGTTCTACCTTCTGAAGTATCGGACACCATGAGACACAAGAGGCCCTTGAAGTGTTCTCAAGGACGTACAAGGACAATGTAACGTCAATTTTTGATAGGTTGACACACGTTCCAAAATACACTTCATCCTATGTGGGGCGGCATTAGTGAAAAAACTTAGAAAGACAAAGAACAGCTAAAACATGGTTTCAAGAAGGGTTACTCTTGTATAAACAACCTGCTGACGGTGGTGGACAGATGGACAAGCATCCTCGATCACAAGGGGAAGGTTGACATCATCTACCTAGATTTCTCAAAAGCTTTTGATAAGGTTAACCATATATGTCTTATCAATAAGCTCAAACGATTGGGTATCAGACCACCTCTAATCGACTGGCTCACTTCATACATGAAAAATCGACATTTTAAGGTCAGAATTAATTTCACTTTATCACAGGCTATGGAATGTCCTAGTGGGGTCCCCCAGAGCTCAGTACTAGGACCTCTTCGTTTCTTGATTTACATAAATGATATTCCTCAACAGGTAACGTCAGACTTAGTACTTTTTGCTGATGACGTGAAACTTTGGGGAGAGATACGCAACCAAGCGTATATACTGGCACTTCAGGAGGATCTAACTCGATTTCAAAGTTGGGCAGATTACAACGAACCTACCTTTAACACTTCAAAGTGTAAAGTAGTCCATCTGCGTCATGTTGCAGATTACAGTTACAACTTAGGCGACTCCCCTCTCGAAGTATCCCAAGTTGAAAAAGATTTAGGAGTGCTGGTAACTTACGATCTGAAGTCCTACGCTAACTGTTACAAAAATGCCATTCGAGCAAATCTTGCACTGGTAGCATTGAAGCGCATTTTTGGCCAGTTTGACTGAAAAACGTTCCACATAATCTTCAACAGTTTTACTCGTTCCCATTTAGAGTACGGAAACATAGTATTTCCTCCCTCACTCCTAGAAGATAAGGACACTCTGGAGCGTATCCAAAGGCGAGCCACGAAATCAGTTCGGAGACTCAAATTCAAGCTTTATGAAGAGTGCCTCCGATCACTTGACCTTTACTTATTAGAGTATAGACGTCTTAGAGGTGACCTTCTGATGGCTTACAGTATCCCCTTGAACACCCACTTAAGCTTAGTCCCAATACAAACCTACGGGGTAACACCCAAAAACTGGAGACAAAACATAGCAGAACTGACTGTAGACACAACTTCTACTCCTTAAAAGTTGTCAAATGCTGGAATTCGCTGCCGGCCGAGCTAGTTCAAGCGACTTCCCAGGAGTCTTTTAGGAGGCAACTTGACCTATTCTTAGAGGCTATGGATAACATCTTATTATGATTTAGAAATTTCGTTTTTTTCCTCTGTTATCGGTACTATACCTAGGTTCCTGCCTGGAAGTATTGGTGATCCACTTCCACTAGACACGGAAGCCTGTTAAGCAAAAGCTTCTTCTATCCGTCCACAACCATTTCAACCATTTGTGGTACTGGGAGAAGACGTCCTACCTCAAACAGAGAACAAGTATGCTTGTTTTTAAAAATCTATTCTCGCATATTTTCTCGTGAATATGATCCTTTTATTTTACTCGATCTTCAACCTTGGTAGCCTTTATTTTCTCTATTTATGGTTTGATTAATACTCTCTAAAATGACAGTTTTGATCCATCCAATATGATAGGATAGTGTTCTGTAGGTCGTCGACAATCTTTATTTTCTCTCAATTGGCATTAATTTTGTAAGCTAGATTGTTTAATCTTGTTTAACAACTCTGTGAACTATATAGCCTAGTCATGATATTCTTCATGATAATTCTGTACAAGTAATATTAATGGCTTTGTGATTATAACCGTTTCCAACTCAACTACTGTGTTTTTAATTTACCTGTGGCATAGGGCTGGTATCTGACGTTATATTAGGATGGACCTCATAAACAGCGAAGGCCAAAGCTACTAGAATCCCAGGAGATTTCACAAGTGTCTTCCATACTTATTTGGCTACACGCCCAAAATCGCATATAAACCAGGAATAGATAGGTTCAGTTACAACACCAGCCCTATTTAAACAAGAAAATAGGTATGAAATACACGAATTCCGCAGATACATGAAAATCGTCGCTATGCGAACAAACACTCCGTACGGTCGATAGTTGAAGAGTACGAGTTACCTTTCAAGTAGATAGCTTCATTCGACATCTATCTCACGCTTAAATATGTGAACGAAAGGACACTGAGTGTTCAGTGTAATAATACTCAAACCCAGCTAAACGATCAATCTGAGAAGCCCTACAACGGGACATAGAGTGGTTAACGAAAATTAATTATTATTGTTAGCCTTATTCAATATTATAATTTGGGTACAACATAGAATTTTCAGCTCAAAGTATTTCAACAATTTTCCTTTTCTTATTTCTTGATCAGTACTGATAATAAATATTGAGTGAACGCCAGTAAGAAGTTAGCATTCTGTGGAGATATGACTGACAAGCTTATTTTGTAAATAGTTTTTAATATTATTTGTATTTGTTTTGTCAATTTTTCACTGCATGTACATTCATCATTAAATGACTGTACGTGTTGTTTTAGTCAATGACCTTGAACACTTTTTCCGTTGTGATACTAACATAGCGTGACACACTTTTGGTCGTTCGCAAATACACTACTACACACACGCTCCTTGTTTTATTCTCACGCGTTATCAAGCTAATCGCATTCTAAATCGAATATTATCCGCATTTTAGACTGCTGTGCCATTTCTATTACACCCTACGTCAAAGAAACTTACTGGAGTCATATTTACCTCATTAGAATTATTACTCATTTATAATTGTGGATTTTTGGGACCAAAACTCAACGGAACACGCAACAACTAGCTGATTTAAGTAACGTCCCTGAACTTTTATTTTGTGTTACTAATTTATAAATTGTTATTGTTACATTAACCTTTGGACGTAATAACTTTATCGCTAATTTTTGGTTATTATACTTTTGGTCCACCACAATTCCAGTCAATCGATATCTAAATAATTTACTTTCTTTTCGCTGCCTGCAACTACAATATCTTTAATTGGGTCTTTTGTAGACTGCACAAAGAATCGTTGTTCATTTTTCACAAATGCAACTGAATAGTTATGCTATCAATAACCATAATGATGTATTAAAACAAAAAAACTGATAACGTGTTGAAATATCTGCATGACAGGGACAGGCATCCCAAATATAATGCCAACATTATTGAAACTTGTGTATTATTGCATTTTTGACGAAATCCGAAATGGTTTCTTCACAACACTTATGTACCCACAAAATATTTGTGAATAATAATGATAATATTAATAATAATAATAATGTTCAAGTGGGTCGCCAGAGAAGTATGATGCGCGACTAACATACAAACAGCATGTCACATCCTAGGCAGGGGTGAACATCATATTTATATTATCAATGCTCGTTTAACATTCATGCTGGAGTTAAGGAATAGAAGCTTGAACGAACTAATTTTCATTCTCTGAGCAGCCATAACTGTGTCATAGCATAATAAGGCCCCCAACCTGAAAAGCGCGTAAAGATGCGATCGTAAAGTATAGAAACGTTTTCTCATACCAGTAAGCGCTAAGGACTTCGGCTTCTTGATGAATATAATTTAACGAAGTAGGATATTGCAGTATGGTAATGAATATTTAAATCAATATAGATGCTCCTGTTATAATGTTTGCCGGTTTTGCTGTTTTTCCGGGTCATTTGATCATCAGCCTCCCCCAACTTTGTCAATAATCAAACAACCACGAGTAACCGTGGTTACTGACATGACATATATTCTTCCTCCCCATCTCAAATTCAATATTTTACCAGTGGGATATTAGTGTTCCGTATTGAGGAGAAAAATGTATAACCCAGTGACTTAGATAAATATATTAATCAAAGCGTTTCGTCTAATAATTAATTAATATAAGCCACTATCAGTTCAGTAAATTCAAACGAAGTCATAAACTAGGGGTATAAAGTGACGGATAATTCACTATACATTCTGACGTAATCTTGATCGTTTTTGACGTTGTTTAGTGAGTAATTAGACCGTAATCTACAGACCTGTGTTCTCCCCCGCGTCGAGCCATCTCAATTCTGTTCTCCCGATTAAGTAGTAAATACTAGTTATTCTTCATTCCTAACTAACTGTCACACTCGCAACAGCATAAGAGTTTTTCAAGACATTACAGTTGTTCAACAGTTCAAAAGATGTAGGACAACATGAATATAACATCACGGTAAGCTTGAACAAACAACCATCACCATAAGCAAGGCGGTCACATCATGACAACTTAAACAGCGAATTAAAACCAATGATTGAGCAATATCAACGCGTTCATTGAAAACTGTCATATGCTCAATTCTTACATCTCTGAATAATATAGGTTGAAGTACATTAGTCTAACACATAAGATCATGAAGAGAATAACGGAAACGCGGAATACCTCAAGGCCTTTATCTAGAACTTCCTCAACACAATGTACACAGCCGATAAATCTGAAGTCGAGAATGACGGCTTATGAAAGTATACTTACAGCACGTGACATCTGGGCTGACAAGATATCTCATGAAATGCTCTATATGACCTATCAAAGTGTGATCTGATGTGGACACATTGCCAAACGCCTTTAGCTTTTGTGTGTTTATCAGAACTAATAAATTCAGCACCATTATTAGCATTAAATACAACTCACTCCCAATTAGGGTTCCCTCACTATCCTTGAAATGACTCTGAGCATCTGAGGTGACGGCGGACATTTTGTGTTTGAATACCACGAAGTGGTCCTTCTCTAGCATGTGTGGGTATTTCGAAAAAGGGTTTTACTGGTTGATTATAATTATCATACATTGTTTTACCTTTAGTAGCCAAATAAAACTCTGCGTTGTTTTTGCATTTCTTACTCAAATCCAGTAGTAAATTGTCGTGCAGTTCGAATATGATTTCTGTCAAACGGGGGAATTCACGTACAATGACCATTTATTTGTCAGAAGCTATGTAGTTGAAGAGAAT